GAAGGGGTGTAGTGTGCGAGGTTAACATTAGTTGGCAAGGCCCAGGCAGCATGACACTTGCCACCTCAGTAGCCAGCTGCAGGGAGAGAACTCAGGGAGAACACTCTCCATACGTGCCATGGCTCAGCGATTTGGCTCGAGCTGCGCTAACAAGAATGAAGAGTCGATGTTCAGAGCATGTGAACTCTGCGCCAGTGCATGTGGCTGCGTGAGTCTGGTGATCTCAATGAAAGCTTTGCCCCCATCATGGATTCAAGCAAGGCTACCAGCGCCTGAGAGTTCCAACAAATCGTATGCAACTGGTTCTAATGATCTCAAAATGTCTCGAGTTTGAATCAAGACATGAAGGCAGCACTGGCTGCGCGTCACGCGTCCACAGCGTAGTCTGTCAAAGTCCAGGAAATGCGACTTCACCTCACTACTCGATGCTGCCAGGATTCAGCACCTTCGCAGGACGTCTGAGAGGTCAGTTGGCTAAGGCTGCTGGCATTGATTGTGGAATGCTCCGCTCGGCGAGCGACCCAAAGCCTTGGCTGCCAGGGGCTGCTTGAGGTCTGACTGTCCTTTCAAATACTGCATCACTGCATTCCCAACATTTCATTCTATTCAAGCAGGGCGTGTGGCGCACAAGGCTGACTGTCTAGTCATCCACGAACAATCAACCTGAGCTGCCGACTCTGCCTCTGCAAGCTGCTCCTGCCGATTCAAAGCATGATTCGCACGACACAAAACCCACGAAGGTGACAGCGTGCCAGCTATAAGGGCGATGACGATAACGATGGCTGTGACCACCACCATATCGGCACCAACCAGCAGCACATCACATCACATCACATCGCCATCGCTATCGCCACCCATCGCCACCCATCGCCACCCATCGCTATCCATCGCCATCGCCATCACCATCATCATCACAACGACGAAGCCCACAGTAACAAGAACCAAGCCACCATGAATGATTGTTCTGATTCCGGCGAGCCTAACAACCACCACGACAACTTTGGCAACACGGCAAAAAGACAACAACGTTGAGGGGTACGTTGGCAGCTCCGCCCACAGCAACAGCCAATCAACCAACAACATTTACAGAGTTTCCTTGTACTCTTGCCAACTCTAACATGTCGGCAGCCAATTGCGACATTATGGGAATACTCTCGACAAACCACCTACAGTGACAACTTGCAATTCGCCGCCCGTCTTCTTTGACAAGCTGATAGAAAGCCGTAAATAATCAATGATGAGCTGCCACATTCATGACCATGGTCGTCATCGACAGCATCACTATGGCTGTCTGTCACCGTGATCATCATCATCATCCCGACCTGGAGCGTTATCATTTTCGTCTTGGCTAGCTTCGTAACCATCACCAATGTCTTCGTCATCATGATCATCAGCAGCACGAACAGCATAATTATCACCATCACCACCATCTTCTTCTCAGTTCATAATCAGGCATGGCAGCTACACTGCTAAAGAACAGATGTGCTGAAATCCTCCGCATCGGGCTTTAGGCGATGCCGAACACGCACGCGCCTTAGAGCCGAAAGAAGATCATCAAAAGCCCTGGCCTTCAACCATTTCTCCCCTTCTGAGGAACTGGACTCAGACTTCTTGAAGAGCGCCGGACCCTGTCTTCATCCCACTCAGCAGGCCAACAACAAGAAACGTCCACGGGCTGGGGAACTGGCCAAGTCCACACAATCAGAGTCCAATGGCACCTGCAACAAGACCAAGGCCTTGCCTCTCAAAGATGACTATATCTTCGCAACCGCCTCCAGAACTGCATTGCAGAACTGCTTGTAGTTGAAAAGGCCTCAAGTGGCAAATAGGGACACGGACCCCGTAGGATGTCGTGCCAGAAAACCTCCGTAGAAAAAGATATCAGTGTGGAGCTTGACCAAGTACACATGGCCGACATTGTAGTCCATCAGCCATGGGTAAATTCTGGTCAACCCCTATTCCCCAAGTATGCAGGCCTAACGCAACAAACGTTGTCACATGTCCAAATCATGCATTTGCAGCTCACGTGCCGGTGACGCCACGTGTCCATTTCCAGTCAGCCATTTGGTTTCATCGAGTCGTCAAACCTTTAGGGCTCATGCACTAGTAAACTTCCTGTACTGGGGGATGCGTGAAAAGTCAAATCCCAGCATGCCACGGTGACTTTTGTTTACTAAACAGAGCACCAGACATGATGGACATAGTTAACAGATTGCAGGCGACGCTTGTACAGCTGCTTGAAAGGGCCCTTCCCATAGGGTCATGCTCACCCGATGCGACTTTCACTCCCCCGATGAAACTGAAAATTTGTGGGAGGGTCACCTTATCACACAAGACACCCGCCTATGAAGTGACGAGTGCAGCTCGCATCCTATTAAGCTCGCCTTGCCAAAATGCTGTGGATAGCTTCAAGTCACTGCTACAAGAAGCTACGGATTGCCATGCTGCCATCCTCTCGGCTACATGGGAACTGCTTCAAACCATAAGCCCTGCTTTTACATGAAGACCTCATGATCCCAGCTGATTTCCAAAAAAATGTGCCGGCATGTCGAAGCATCATTTGCACAGACCTAGACACCAAAAGTTGGCAGGAACACTTTTCTTTGCCCAGCACCCCTTTACTCCATGAAATGACAGGTATGACAGGTGCACATGCCCATCTTTGATCCACTTCTTCGCAAGCTCGATCACCAACAGCATGCAGCAGGCTATTTCCGCATGCTGCACCATCATGCAACTTGTTGGGGGTTCTGGACGAAAATGTTCACGAGAAAATGGAGGGGCCGCCTGATCGGTTCGTAAAACGACCGAAGCTTTTGAAGCTCTGAAGCTACTGGCTTCGGAGCTTTGCCCTAAGTTTTGAAGCGACGGGCTTCGCCTGAAGCCCTGAAGCTAGTGAAAGCCTTGAAGCTAGTCGCTTCACCTGAAGCCCCGAAGCTTGGAAGCCAGCAGCTTCGCCTGGAATTCTGAAGCTAGTGGCTTCGCCCGAAGCTCTGAAGCTAGTGAAGCTGGTGGCTTCGGAGCTTCTCACTTCAAAACCAAAGCTCGTCTGAACCACACCAAGCGTGCAACCATAAAATGGCCCCGTATTAACTATTAAGAAAGTGACCAACATCATGCATATAGGATTGGGACGGCCATTCCCTGATTAAACGGGTATCCACGTACTTGAGATCCAGCGGCTGAAACGGAAGCTCAGCGCTCAGAGCTCCTGTTTCTGCTCCCCGCTCACTTCACGAAGCCCTTACAACCGCACACGAGCAACATCGCAGACCTGCCCTTTCCCCCAGAGAGGCCCAAGAAGGGCGTGGATGGGCTTGCGGGGGCCTGCATCAGCAGCATCACCGGCACCCCATTACTAAGGCGCAAGGCATTTCTACAAGATCAGGCTGCGAGAACAAAGAAGTAAGGAATTCTCATCTTATCCCCGATCCAATAGCCTTCCGTTGTGGTAACACAGCAAGCCTGGCTCTGCTGAGGGCTGCTCCATTGAGATTGAAGATTCGCTGAAGCATCTCGAGCTCCTTCGACAGTCGAGTAACAAAGTGGTGCCAGGGCATCAGATGCCTTGCAGCTGACGACAGACCACCAGCGTCCTTTGAGTCAAGCTCGATGCGAAGGATGGTGAAGACAGTTCTGGCCTCCATATCTAGATCCAGGTAAGCCTTTACACTTTACTGCTAAATCTGCCAAAACCAGCCTGCCCCATACTAACAGCCCCTCGGCGCAAGCGGTCCACCTCCTCCAAGCTTGCACGATCTTCCACGCATGGGCAGTGTGGGAGGGACATGTTGGTACCTGGAAACTTCCGTGCAGCCGAAGGCGGCGGGAGGCTATCTCTGCCTGGAACAAAAAAATCTCAAGAATTGCCCGGAAGATAACGGCATATCACACTTTCAGCCTTGAGCCGCATGAGGAGCTCTTCGTCGAGCTGGTCAGGATCCTGCATCAAGTGAACCCGAAAATGTCCCAAAGCACTGATCGCGAGCAGGGCTAGCCCTCCTGGCCAAAAGGCAGTCGCATTGATTCTCTGCCACTCCACGTCGCAGGCCCCGTCCACTGCCGCCTGGTCCAAGAAAGAAGTTGCTCAGGGATGCTGACAGGACATGATGAGCCCCTTGCGAAGTGTGAGTGCGGGCCGTCTGCGGGTGCTGCACACTGGCAAGACAAGGCAGGGAGTGCGCAAGATCTCTCTTCAAATTGAGGGGCAAGCCATGAACAAAGAAAAATTGGCGCATGAGCGGATGCTGCTGCATCATGGCTTTCAACTCTGCAGATAGCAGATGAGACTCATGAAGAACTGTCAGAAGATATAAGCGGTTGATGAAGATATCAAGATACTGATGCAACGGGCGTGGACGAATGAGTGCGACAGACAAACATGTGACAAGGACAGCCACGACTTAATGTTTTCTAGGCACATAGACATATTGGATGAAGAACATGATGGGCATGATGCAGCGATTGAGGAGGAGAAGGACGCAAAAGATGATGTGTAGCAGTTTATAAGTTTATGCTGTTCAAACACGCGATCGCTGTCATTTTCATCGACCTCATCGGGATCGTTATCGTTGATATAATATGGCCAAGGCCATCATCATAGTCACCACCAGCCTCATGATTCTTATCGTCGTTGTGGCCACCGCCACCGCCACCGATGATGGAGAGAGCAATGAGGGGTGTGGTAGTGCTGAATTTGTGTGGCTAGATGGCGGATGACGCCGTTGATGCTGATGAGGGAATAATGGCGATGGTGGTGCAAGTGAAGGACCAAGCCGAAAGATATGCAAAACGCCATATTAAACAGACAGGCAAGCTGCGCCAGTACTTGCCAAAGCAATACCTAGCACTGCCTAGCTTACACTAGGTCTTGCGAGGGCACCTCCCCTGGCATGGCTCATCTATGAGGGCTTGGATTTCTTTGTCCAGAGCCTTGCAAAAAGCTTGTCCAGAAGGCTTGCAGGATGCGCAAACGCATCTATATGCTTCAGTTTCCCTCTGAGGCAAGGGCAACATAACTAATACCACCAGTGTCAGCATTGTAGTATCTCTGCAGCAGCAGGTTCAGCTCATATTCCGAGATGTCCTCCAAGAAGAAGCGCCAAGAAGCGCCACTTGAGACCGCTAATGAGCCTGATAACGATGACCCACACAGTTGGCCTGCATGAAGGGGAAGTGGCTGCAAAACTGGGCCTCCGTAACCTTCATTTCAGGAATGCAGCCCTTTGTCATCGTGGAGAAGCTCCAGCAACGCACGGCCTTTCCGGCAAAGCGCGGACAGAGCAGTGATGTGTCCAGGGATCGCTCTGAATCCTGCAGGATGATGCTTCCACACAATTAATTACGCGGTGGCTCCCAGCTCTTCATGCAAGCGCAGGCTCGATGTCTACGAGTGGTTGGCAGATGGCGTTTGGCAGAGAACCAGTGGCCCCCCAGTCCAATTCAAAAGCATCGGAGCCCCTTTTTGTAGTTCCTCAACCTCCAAAAAGATGAGTTTGGGGTAGCAATTCTGGCTCACGATTTGCATCTCGCTGCCACCGTACTGTCAACATCCATAGCGAATCACATCCGAAGCAAAACGGCCGTTTCGCGCACCAAGACTACAGGACTCCCGCGTATGCCAGGCGGGCGGGCAACGATCGTCAGATTGTGACAGTAGTCGAAAACGGCACAAGAACATCCAAATCCCTCAGCCGTAAAGACTCCCAAGCCCCACCCTCAATCCTAAACACGCAAACCCTAAAGCACCCCCAACCCCTGAACCCGCAAACCCTGAACAAAAAATCCCTAATCCGAGCACTACATTCATAAACGGGACCATATCTAAAGAAAGTTTTGTGAGTAGAACTAGACTAGGCTCCAAAGACTAGCTACAATTAGGTGGCTGTTTGTATGGGAAAAGGGACTAAATCTACATAATTTTTTGGGGAACCAATCCTGATAATAGAGATATCTCAATACGTTCCTATTCATTTTTTAATTAGTAGAGGTCCAAGAGCCCCAATGACGCAGGAATGCATTCCCATTCTTTTTTAATTGAGTTCCAGGAGCCCCAATCATTCTTTAATCTGGCGCCTTCCATTCCTTATTCTGGCGCGGGGGGGGCCCAAATTAATGAAGCGCTCGGATTAGACCGTAAACACCCTAGACTCTGAACCCTCAACCCCAAAACCCTCCCAAGCCCTAGGCCCTAAACCCTACATCAGAGCAGCCCCCTGAAAACGCTTAAGGCGCAAGCTGAAAACCGTACACCCGTGAACCTAAACCCCAAACTCCCGGCGAAAACGGAAAGCATGAACAGGCAACCCCAAATCCTGAACACCGCTGCCCTAAACCCTCAACACTCCCAAACCCTGAGCCCTACACCCCAACCCTGAACCCTAAGCTCTAGACTCTACGTAAATCCCAAAACCCACACCCTAAACACTCCGAAGCCCTAAGCCTTAAGCCTTCAAACCCCACCAGCGAGCAAAACCCTGAGCCCTGAACACCCCCAAGCCCTACGCCTTAAACACCACAAACCCCAAACACTCCCAAACCCTAAGCCCTAAAGCAACCCTGAACCCTAAACACTGCCAAGCCCTAACCCTGAGCCTTAAACTGGAAACATCCCCAACCCTAAACCCTGTACACTGCCAAATCCAAACCCCAAACCAAACCTTAAGTCCTAAACCCTAAACCCTTGAGACCGTTAAGAGTAAAGCCTAAGCCCTAAACCTTAAATCCAAATACTCCTCGGACTGTTAGTGGGCTCTGGAAGTGTTGGAATTGTTGTGGCTTTGTGCAAGAGTCAGATCCTTTTGGTGCTTGAATCGGCTCCTTTGCGTGCTTGATTGAATCAGCTCCTTTTGGTGCTTGAATCAGCGCTTTTTGGTGCTTGAATCGGTTGAATCGCGCTTGCGCGGTGCCTGAATCGTTGGTGCGTGAATCGGGTAGTTCCTGAATCGGCAGTGCCTGAATCGCGAGTGCTTGAATCGGCAGTGCTAGAATCGTAGTGCTTGAATCGGGGTTGGTGCATGCATCGTGCTTTTACTTCAACAATAAGCATGCTTAGGGTGTGTTGCTTGATCTATAACTTTCGGGGACTTGAGGCATCCCCAATGCTCCTCAGGTTGATTATAATGAAAGGCAAGTGTGATATCAGATTTCCAAGGCAGTTGTGTGCAGTTCGTGGCATAGAGCTGGGGTAGGTAGAACAGATGACGGCCGAATGAAACTTACGAAGTTCTCACCTGATGCTCAATTTACCATGTCTACGGTCTCAAAGTTTGAAGTATGTCAATGATGGTGCCACAAAATGCCTATTGATATAGGGGGAGGCGATGGGTACAATGGCTTACTTACCACATGGCTGCAAAGAGTCTGGTGTGGGGCACATGTTCGACCATCATTGAAACAAGAAGACACCAGAACCGCATCCAACCGAGAAAAACGTTCCTCACGTAACTACTGCGAGGACGTACTCGCGCCGACTCATTCAGCTTTGTCTAGCTTCAACTTTTCAATGTCTCTTTGTGGTTTGCGCTCAGCTTATTATCCGATACTGTCCACTGTCCTGGAAGCATTTGGAGAAGATTACCTGAGCTTTCACATGCTTGAGCACAAGTCTGCTCCTCTTGCTTGTCTTAACAATGACAAGCTGCACCGCGGGTCTTCACGAGCAAGGCGAGCCGTCGCAGCGTCTGCTCCACAGCTGCCTGTGGCATTGCGGGAGCAAAGAAAGAACACGTCCTCAATGCTGGGAGACTGCCTCATCGTCGCAGGGACCAATGTCAGCGCCGTGCTTCTTCAGACAATGGCCAGGCCTGCGCACGGACATCTGGACCGCGAGCAGATGTCAGCTCAAACTAACTGAAAGGCTTCTGGGCAAAAAAGTCGTGCCTTGGCGCCTTGACAGCTGGCTGCCTCTCGAGCTCTGAGGCCTCTGCTGTCAAGCGTCCTACTGCAGTGCCGGCTTCTGCCACTTCTAAGTTTGTTGGCCCCAAATGCCTTCATGACACAGGGTCAGAATCGCTGCCAAAGGCACTCCAAAGACATGGTCCACAGACCGAAGGAAGTCCAGGTGTCGAACAACCTGCAAGGCGCTAAGGAACACTGGCCGAACGGCTAGCAAAATGCAATCAGCAGGCAAGTAGACAGGGGTTGAAGGAGTTCAGGAGTTCTTCATCGTTCGTGGACTTTGCCTGGACTGCCATCTGACAGAGAGTACCTCACTTGGCCTTGAGTGATTCCATAAAATGTTGGTGCTCCAAGGCTGCTGATGACTTCAACTGCTTTCCTTGCTCGTTTCCTGGCATCTCAAAATCCCTCGGCTACGCTGCGTGCCCCGACTCCGAATTGGAAAATTTCGATCAATGCTTTATGGCAGAGATCCAAGGTGAGGCCCAGGTCCGCAGAAAAAGAAAAGAGCACAGTTGACCACTGGCGCAGGCATAATTTAAAACCCCCTCAAGTTGCGGATCACGATCATCGGCAACCCCAGAAGTCTGAACCCTCCAGGAAAAGGTCGTTGGGGACATTCCCTAATTAGATTACAGTGATAAGGCTTCTCCTCTCTTTGCTAAGCATTGGAGCAGAAAATTGTGCGTTATTACAAGCCCATGAAAAATCATGACACCCACCCACCCCGCCCGCACCAGAGCATTTTGGTGGTACCCTTGCTGTTAAGTCGCTCAGTTTTTGGGCATCTATTCACTTTGCCGCTCCAAGGTTTGCCCCTCCGGTTGGAATTGTCAAGGTTGAAACTTTGGCAGATACCTTAAAAGGATCTCGGCTTACAGTCTTGCAGCCAATTTCAATATCAGTCTCACAGGTGCGAGCAGCATCCTTCACAGCAGATGCAGACTCAGGACTTGATTGGATGCCAGGCTTGACAGATACAGCTGCACATAGCAATGTAGGGCAGTGGTACGGGCAGGACCTGTGGCTTCATGGCGTCGTGTGAAGGCTCCGTAAAGAAGTCCTTGGATGGGCACGGTCGAGCTGCCAATTTGTGCACCAGAAGGCTATGAGGCAAGGAGCGGAAGGTCTCATGACATTTGCCTTCTTGACTTAATTCTGGGACGCGAGCTGTCAATATCCGCATCTTGTCGGATCGAAGATGCGGAACCTTGAACCGGGTACCATAAGCGTCATTCTTAAAACTTGCGCGCTGCAACTCTGGGGCGTGAACGATGGCATTCAGTCCGCGGACAAACTGGTGAGGGCTACATCGGCCACATCGCAGCGGGTCGAAGTCCAAGAAGAAATCCTCTCATAGCAAAGCTATGGTTTTCAAATGGCTTCAACTAAGGAAGCAGCCTTTGCGCGAATTCTCCGAGTGAAGACATAGCCCTGGCAGACAGGTTTTTCGGTACGAAGCCAACTTCTCTGCAGCGTGCGTTGCCTGTATTTCGCGAAGTATGTCGTTCACTTCCTCAGGATACTCCTGTCAGTCCAGTAAGCTGCTGGATTGCTATCATGGAGCTGGCTGTCCTCCTCAGCCACCTGCGGAGGGGCCTGAAGCCAATGAAGGTAGATCACAAAAAAGCACTGGCACTATGGATGGGCCTCCCAGGCTTGCATCGGCAAACCTTGGAGCTGCACGACACCCAGATCTTCGCGCAAGCCAATCTTAGCCTCTTGCGGAATGGAGGAGGTGCCATTGCACCTAACAGGCCCTCGCCAGATGCGGACAGCCCAAGGTCTGAAATCAAGGAAACCTGCACCTCTGCTGATACTGGTTCTGCATAGTACTAATTCTGAAGGGTCAGGACTTTCAGAATACCTCTCTATGCACTCCTCGCGCAGCAGTTTTTGCTGCAAGTGACACGAGCCCAGCAGTCTTTGCAGGGCTCTCACCGGAGGCTTTGAGCCGAAACTGGGCAAGGATCCAGAACAGGCAGCAGCCCCAGCAAACTGCAAGTGTGAGGGCAGATAAGGCCACTGGCTGGGAGAGGGCAGGGAGCAATGGGCGCACCCAAAGCTTCGGACCCCAAACCTCAGACTTCGAACGCAGAAAAACGGAGGGGGGGGGGGGGATGCTCTCATTTCAGTCAAGGGCACGGTAAACAGGTAAACATATTTCACATGTCCATGTGTGTAAGGCACGACTTGCTGAGTCTCAAGCAGTTGCGCTATTGCTGTAAGTTTCGAGTTCAATAGGCTTCCCAGGCGAATGCCAAATATTGACTGAGCGATGCCACATGAGCTCCTACACCTACGACTAGTGTGGTTCAGTGCTGTTGGTGTCAGTTGGTCCTTCGCATGCTTTGCTGTGCTGTCGCCAGAGCCTTACCTTCCTTTTCAGACATATGAATCAGCTGTGCACAGGTACACCAGATCGGGTCCCCTTACCTTAAGACGTCTCACAGAACAAAGATGTGCACCATCAAGGAAACCTGCCGGCGCAGCGACTCCTTAACAATTTTACAGTAGATTGCAAGCCTAAAACAGTGCACGAAGTGAAGTCCATAATCTGCCTTTGCAACGTTTCTGGATCATGGAAGGTTCCTGGCATTAATGACACTAATCACCAATGCTTCCTTGAACCATGTACTCGAGCGTAGTATCCTGCATTGTGCAACTGAAGCCCAAAAGTGCTTTAGAAGAGAGCTATGAAAGCGACAGAGCCCGCGAGAGGGTTTGGGAGAAGGCGACGGAGATGTGGATATCCACATGTTTCAGGTGACTGCTCGTAGTAAAAGTATGCAAGATGAGCAACCCGCATCCTTGAGACCTCAGAAGCAAGTGGCATGGGGAACCAGGGGGGCCCCAACCTACAAATCAATTTCGGGATCAGCCATCATAAAATCCATCTTTACGGGGGGGCCCTAGCCTTCACCTTGAGGTAGGTTTTGCATTCTTCTGCCAGGAAGTGAGGATCTTGCGGACATTGGATGACAGCGGATGTAGTGTTCTTCCAAGCTGTGATGGCTCGGCTGGGCAACGTGGTTTTGGCTTGGCTGAGTTCGAGAAGAGGACGGAGAAAAGGAGGCCAAAAAGCAAAGATCTGACTCGAATCAAATAAACAAAAAAGCAAGGATTTCATCCGAATCAAAAGCATATCAGCCTAACCAAACTTGCCAAAGCCTCTGAAACGTAATCCAAAAACGGCGGTTGTGTAAGTAGTGAGCATCCCGCGCCGTCCAGGCCGGCTAGTCCCCTGTAGCCCCTGCAAACGGTGCCAACAGTCTCGCAGCTCGGGCCCGGTCAAACACATCGCACCCACGTTTTGCGTGAAGCTCGGCGAGCCACTGCTGCACGATCGAACGAAAAAAGAGCCCAGCAACAAGAAAATACATCATTTTTCCTGTTTTTCACAAGTGCTACAAGTAGTTGCAAACGGGTCTCGTTGTGTTCGACCGTAAAGCCTGTTTCTTATTATGTTGCCCCATTGCTGTGTAGCGACATTTTGCAACAAGGCAACACTCAACCCCGCTCTTTCATTTCACTTCAAAAAAGCCCTGCAACCTTGCAATGAATCCTTCCAAATTTGACTTCTTCCGGGATGAGCACCAGCGCCTACTCCTGCGTGGCCAATGATGATCTGAATTGGCTTCCGGCCACTGATGCTTTGGAACATGCTTGACAAGCTTGCTCCAACAAATTTTGAGTTCTTCCTGCTCTGGCCCTTGCAGCAGAAGAAGATTGGGCGCGGGCAACGAAAACAAAGGCACAATGTATACCTCAAATTCAGACGCCATGTTGTGTTCTCACAGTCTCTCTGCGCCTTCCGACTTTCTTAGCCAGGATGCCAAAAATGATCATAAGCACTATCACAATGAAGCCCATGCCTCCACAGTGCGCTCACACATGAAACTCCAAGATCAAACATGCAAGGCAAAACTCCGCACCATAGATCCGTTGTTGAGTAAACGGTCTCGTCCGTTGCATGGCTCCAGAAACCTTGGCAACCCACAGCGCACATCACTCCCTCTGCGCTTTGCATGCATGGAAGCTACAAAATGTACTCACCGCATCTTGGATGTCGAGCCTGCGCCCGAAAATCTCAGCCCGGCCTGGGCAGGATTTCCTCTTCTCGGGTTTTAGCTTTCCATGTTCCTCCGTTGAGATGCCGAGGTTTCGCAAGGTAGTGCAATATCTCGTTCGTGTCAGGCAGTTAGACGTCTTGTTTGCGGTGCCTGCTTGTTCCACAAAGCGTGCAGATCTAAACGTCACAAGCTCACGGCCATGCTTGTGGCTAAAGGGGGCTGCAAAGACTAGAAGACAGGCCATATGAGCTCACATGGGCCAAAGCAAACCAAGGAATCCGGGGTCCGCTCAATTTCACAGGCAGCGTGCCGCTGCTGAGCAGCGCGCACCTGACAGGCTGACAGGGAGAGGCGCAAAGAGCAAGTCCGCAAAGTGCGGAAGCGGCGTGCCAGGTTCCAGCGCGGGTGGGCCACCAGCTACTGTCAGCTGGATAGGCTCAGGCGCAGCAACCTGCCCGCTTGGCCTTGAGCCACAGACAAGACACTATGTCTAGTGCAACGGGAGGCTTCTGAACACAACCGCTTTGGAACCCTCAAACCAAGACCATGTCCAGGCAAATGACCAATTATGAACACAACAGCTTTTCAAATGATACGCGCTAAATGCCCCCACAGACAGACACATCGCACTGCCGGCGTTGAATTCGTTCTTCAGTTTCTGGTTTCATCTATCTGCTCCACACGCTCTACACTCATCCGAGACCCACCATCTCCTCGCAACCACGCAAAGTGGCAGCTCGTTTTTCTCAACTGCCAAGGCAGTGGAGTGCTGGTTTGCATAACTAGGTAGTGAAACTCTTCGAAAGATCACTCTGGCATGTGACTCGGACTGGCACAGCGCATGCCAGTCGAGATGTAAGCAACGGGAAAATTAGATTGTCTGGTCAGGTTATGTGAAATCTAGGCTGAAGACCCTCAGCTTGCACCCACAACAACAAGGACCAATGAATCTTCTATACTCTCCGGTCGTCAGTCCTCAAATGTGCCACGACCGGATTGTCCGACACTTTGGAGTGCCCAACTCGTGGGGCGTAGAAATCGTACAAAGGCGCACACAGATTTGGCGCACTCAGAAGGTTCTACTCGCAAAATTGTCCACTGGAGAACTCAAGATAGCAGGCTGGCGATGGCCTCTACGTGTTTCACACAGAATACTGGCATTGGCTTCTTCTTGTTCCTTGAATCGAGAGAGTGTTACACGGTACTGCCTTCTCCTGGGCGGAGCAGCTTTGTTTCAAGCTGCTCTGCGGAAAAAGCCTGCCTCCAAGATCTCAAGGCTGCAGCTTGCAAGTGCACCCAGCTCTTCCACGGTAGATGGGCTTGATTTGCTGTTGCACATCTGACAGTGTTCGTTTGTGATGACTATGGCATCTTCCACGCTACACGCCCTGATGCTGCCAAAACATACACAAAGCTAGACAGCTAGAGCTAACGTCTGCACGAGATCCGGCGCGATCACTCAGGGAAGAGTCAGCCCTTGAGAGCAGAGCGGCAAAGTCATGTCGATGGCAAAAGCAATGGTTTCCTAACTCCCTGCCAGCCTTGTAACGACCTTTGCCTCTGTGTCTGTCCTTCGAGGCAGCAGCCATCTTTGCTCAGCAACGTCGTTTAGATAAGAGGTCCCCTGAGTTGGCGAAGTGTGGAAGCAATGCAAGTGTCTCGCTTTTTGTTCATCAACCCGAGGGCTTGCGGCCTGATGGCAAGTAATTCACTCGACTCGAGCTACAAGCGGCCACGGTCTCATTTCGAAGAGGTCCTCAACTCACTGTACAGGACCTGCTCAGTTTGCAATCAAGTCTCAGTTTCCACTGGATTTCCACTGAAGCCTGCCACGCCTCCGGCATCCTTCCAAGCGGCTATGGCTTTGCTCCTGCCGTCGGAACTCGCACACGTCTGAGAGCTTCTGAGCTAAGGACTGCACTAACAACGAGATACAACTTCTACGGCTGGCTTGTCGCAAAACACCTGCAACAACAGCATACGACAGCCAAAATACGCATAAATCCATAGCCATAGGCGCAACATGTCGCAACAGATCATATTCCATGCTGTAGCATGCCAGATCACTACTGCTGAACATGCTGGATAGCTCGACAACCAGACTTTCACTTGGAGCACAGACAGACCTGATTGACGTTTCAAAGCGTAACCTACGTGCCCGGCAGCCGTACTTGTAGGCATCAGATTGTTGCCGGGTAAACTTACAGGGATTCTTACGGTTCCACCTCAGAGAACAGTGCCACTTATTTGGATCGCCCAACTAGTGCTGCAAATTTGAGGCTCCTGCTCTTATCACATGGCTGGCAGTCCCAGACTGTGGGCCCCCAAGGACAAGAAGTAGAAGGGTACCAGCAAGGGCTGCGACGAGTTTTTCTTGATGGCTTTGGGTGTTCGTCAGTGGCAATGAGGCAACGAGATGGCGATGGCTAACCCCTGGTTCTGGAGTCTGGAGGCCCGTGAAGAGTTTCATGGCACAACTGGCCAACCAATGTAGAACATCAACACATCACGCAAACAATGATCTCCTGCCGACCAGTTGAGATGGTGAAAGCAACGGGCTCACTGGATCTCAGCCTTTGTGGGTCATGCTTGACAAGCACGGATGGATCTGCATAGCTGTAGCTCCTGAGAAGTCTGAGCAAAAAACGGGCGTGAACCCCATCCCATTCTTT